CTATGTACATCATATCAAATGCAAAATGTTGGGGAGCTAGACATGCAGACTGCTTTCTCATGGTGGCTGTGGGGGCTGGTAGATCAATGAATGACTGCTGTCCTTTTTCCCTTCTTAGTACATCCAGCGGTAGTGATCCGACAACGAAAGTCATATCGGAGAAAAGATGGTGTGTTTCTTTATTTTGAAGATAATGCGGGGGTCATAGTAAACAATAAAGGTGAAATGAAAGGTAAGGCTCCACGTGGTTCCTTACATCTTTGAGATTGGGTGATTTAATTCTGGGTTGGGAGTACAGGCAAAGGAGGACCCTCTGACCTTACCTGACACTTCATTCTTTTTGCAGGTTCTGCCATCACAGGGCCGGTTGCAAAGGAGTGTGCAGATTTGTGGCCCAGGATTGCATCCAACGCTGGCAGTATTGCATGATTGTCTAGTGTATTTGTAAAGAAAAAAAATTAAAAGTTATTTCCTCGCAGTGCTTGCCTTCCTGTTCATTGTGAGACGTGTCACTTTTTTTTTTTTTTTAATTTTCACCTGGAGGATACCTTTAAAGAAAGGAAGGGAGGGAGAGAGAAACATCAGTAGGTTTCCTCTCATATGTGCCCTGACTGCACCCCATCTGGGGATGGCAATGGACCCACAACCTTTTGATGTATGGGGGTGACGCTTCAACTAACTGAGCTACCCGGCCAGCGCTACATGTCATGTGGACACCACCTAATCTTTGCCTCCTTTGTAAAACGGAAAGTACTCGGCAAACTTGCTGAGGGGTGTGTAAAAGAAGTATTCCTTGCACTTTGGTGAGTGTGAAGAACTTTTGGAACTTACTGGTTTCTGCTATAAAAAGGTATTTGGGTTTGGAGTCCATAAATAAATGGCAGGTATTGCTTGATTACAGGTAACTCCAGGTAACGGCCGTGCAGTTAGAAACGTATTCAAGGTAAGGTAAGTGTTCGGATCCTAGATATGCGCGTATGGAGTTCAAGGAGTGATGTGAGTAGGGGCCAGGTACAACTTTTGCGTTTACAGGTTTTCTTCGAGGGAATTGGCGCGTAAGTGAGCATATTTGTAAAACCTAACACATGGTAAATACCATGTAAGTTTGCTCTTGTGGAAGAGGATGAATAGTGTCTGCAGGTTTTTTGCCCTAGTATATCTGCCAAACCCTTGTTTGAGAAGAAATAATACAATCATACCAGCACAATAGGCATGTATCCTGGCAAGTTCTGCCTGGAGGTATTGAATACTGTAGTTTTATCCAACCCATGGCCTAGATGACAGGGCCTCCTGGGCTGAAGGAGCACTCAGCTGGTTTGGGTCAATAGTCCAACCTATTGATGTTGGAATAGGCTTTTTAGACTCAAGTTTTGTGTTCATGTCCAGTATTTGAAAGTAACCTTAAATGGTAATCTGTAAGTTGGGTATAATGCAGGGCTGAAGCTTATAGTACCTGAAGGCCCTACCTAGCACATAATCACTTGGTGAAGTGATGATCCTTTTGTCCAAGAATAGGAATGGAACACACCAGGATTAGAGAGCAGTGATTTTTCAGCCAGAGGAGTTAAATGTGTCCAAGCCATATCCCGGACCAGTTAAGTCAGACTAGAGGTAGGACTAGATAGCAATAGGACTATGTAAAGTGGCCCAGATCTCCAAGGTGTAGGCAACACTAAGAACCAGTACTTTGTGGACAGAGCCAGTCTTGGTTTTAGGAATATTAAAGAAACCTGGAAGTTGAACAGACTTGGCTTCTCTGCTACCATGTCTTCCAGCCTGGTGAATTTCAAATTTATTGTTTTGAAATACTGATAAGTACTCAGATCCATTGAAAAAGAATCCTTGTATCTCACTGTGAGAGAGGTCTGTCCAGAAAAAGCCCAGCCACAGTGAATACCATGAGAACAGTTTGCATGACATCAGTGTAACCTGGCAGCCAAGGAGAGGGAACAAGAATGCACACACAAATGATGACTTCACTGTATTAGTCATTGGCCAGTAGATGCCATTGGATGAGCATGTATAGTGTGTGGCTGTCGCATTCAAAATGACAAGCAAGTAGAGCAACAAATCTATCAAATTTTGCATTAAGCTTGAACATTTCCTCTGTGAAACTGCTCAGGTGATTTGGAAGGCTTTCGGGGTTGATGCAATGAGTGCAATGCAAATAAATGCAGCACAAATGCTTCAAAAAATGGTCAAGAATCTGTGCAAAGTGGTCCATGGTCTGAAAGGCCTGCAACAAACAACACCTGGTTATGTTGAATGTGTATGGGCCGCAATCAACAAAGATTGACTGTGAGAACTAGCAACTGATCTAGGGATTCCAAAAGCTACTGTGTCCGAGATTTCGATACAGGATCTTGGCATGAAATGTGGCAAAATTATGTGGCTTTTGCTACCAGAGCCAAAAGAAAATTGCAGTTGCTATGACTTGATTCAAACCATTACCAATGAACCAGATTTTCCTCAAGAAGTTCATAGAGATTAATCATGGGTCTACGGCTATGATTCAGGCACAAAGGCCCAGTTGTCCCAATGGGCGTCACCTGGTTCTCCACGCCTGAAGAAGATGCAACAAAGTTGTAGCAAGATCGAGACCATGTTAACTATGCTTTTTCATTGGGAAGGTGTCCATCACAAGTTCACCCCTCCAGACCAAACAATAAGGAGTACTGCCTCAGTGTCCCGGGTTGAGAGATGGCAATACAATGAAAACGGCTGCAGCTGTGGGCAACTGGTGATTCACAGCGTCATCATGACGACACACCCACTCAGGCATCACATCTGCAGAGTTTTGGCAAAACATCAATCACCTGCATAACTCAGCCCCCTACAGCCGAGATCTGGCACCCTGCAACTCCTGGCTGTTCCTGAAACTAAAATCACCTTTGAAAGGGAAGAGATTTCAGTCCCTCAGTGAGATTCAGTAGAATATGACGGGGCAGCCAATGGCGATTCCAACAAAGGATTTTGCAGAGTGTTTTGAACAGTGGAAGAGACACTGAGAGAACTGTGTGAGGTCCCAAGGTGCCTGTGTTGAAGGGGACCGAGGCATCCTTGTCCTGTGTACAATGTTTCTTGCATCTTCTTCAATAAATGTCTCTACTTTTCATAGGATGTGGCTGGATACTTCCTGGTCAGATCTCATATATATGAAATTACTCATTTCTGTATCAGATGTGAGGTGTGAGGGCTGGGCCTGTCATTTTCCCACTTGTCCCCTTGTGTCCACATTTTTCCAGGTTCTTTTGAAGGTTTAGTATAAAAGATTCAGACTACAGACTTGCTTCCTATAATTTCAGATTTGACTTATTGTTGCTCTCCTATCATAGGATAGAAAGGTTAAATAATGTCGCATACTGAATTGCTAAGAATGTTTTTTTTTTAAAGATTTTGTTTATTTAGAGAGAAGGGAAGGGAGAAAGGAACAGAAATATCAGCGTGAGAGAAACATCGATTGGTTGCCTCTAGTATGCAGCCCAGGCATTTGCCCTGTCTGGGAATGGAACCAGCAACTTTTCCACACCCAACCAAATGAGCCACACCCACCAGTCAGGGCAGGATGAGTGATTTTTGTGTATAGGTATAATACAATCTTTTTCTCAGCAATGCATGTGCCTCTATATAAAAATACTAATAGTGAATAAAAGAATCCCTCTTTGAGCGTTGGCCAGCATGGCTCAGTTGGTTCGGCTTGGGCGTCATACCACAAAGCGAGGGATCACTGATTCAATTCCCTGGTTGTGGGGCCAGGCCCCAGGTTGGAGTGGGTACATGAGAGACAACTGGTTGATGTTTCCCTCACACATTGATGTTTCCCTCTCTTACTCCTGCCCTCTCCCTCTGCCTAAAAATAAATAAATCTAAAAAAAAGGGGGGGGGGAAGAACCCCTCTTTGAGCTTCTAAAATGAACACATGCTCACACCTCAGATGGTGTGAGCAGTTTGTATAAGGTGCTTTGATGTGTGAAGCATCCAGTAAGGCTTTAATCAAGGGGAAATTCGGAGAAGTAAAGAGTATAAAGAAGGATATAAAAATCACCTGTAGTCATAACTAAAAAAAAAAATCGTTCACATTTTGCTGTATCCTATCATATATGCACAAAGTTAGCCAGAGAGAAGGTACAGTAATGTGTCAATCTAATTTTTTTTTGGGGGGGTGGTGGTCAGCTAACAAGTGGAGGCCTACTAGTTGATGAAAAGAAGTGGGTGCAGCCCAGACCGGTGTGGCTCAGCGGGTTGGGCGTCCTCCCACAAACCAAAAGGTCACTGGGTTAGTTCCTGGTCAGGGCACTTGGTCTCGATTGCCTTTCCCCAGTTGGGACATGAGGGCAGCAACCAATGGATGTTTCTCTCGCACACACAGATGTTTCTCTCTGTCTCTTCCTCCCTCCCTTCCCCTCTCTCCAAATAAGATCTTTTTAAAAATAAGAGAAAGGGGAAGTGCTTTAAGTGGAATTAACTGGAAGTCAGGAGACCTGAATTCTGGCTCTGTATCTACCACTAAACGGGTTTAGGGAATATTCCACCCTGTCTGAGCTTCTATTCCAGTTCCATAAAATGAGAGCTGGAGGTAGATGCTATCTCAACTCTCAGATCCATTCTGGGAACAAGATTTTCAGTGGAACTGAATTGGGGGGAAATGTGTAGGATAACGTGGGAACAGAGATTCTTGCTCTGAAGGGAAACGGGGAAGCTGGGCCTGACTGCACTCACAAGGCCCATGTTCAATAACGTCTTCCCCGCTTCCACCTCAGTGGTTTTGCTTGGTCTCCTCCTGGTCAACCCTCACCTGCCGGGACGGGGGTAGGCAGGGGTGGGGGGCGGCATGAAAGCAAATTCCCCCTCCACCCTGAGACTACTCATTGGGTGGGGGACAATAGGGTTTGTGTCGCAGGGGTCACGGGTCTTGACACCACGTAACAATGCGCAGGGAAGTCCCCACCTAGGGCCCACCACTCCCACCAGGGAGGCCCTTGCAGGCTGCGGTGGTGGGGATGGCGCGCTTGTGCGAGTGTCCTCTGCGGTTGGAGAAGAGCTTCATCTTGGATGGGGTGGCCGTGAGCACCACGGCTCGCTCCTATGAGCGACTGAAGCCCAAGCTCTGGTCCGCGATTCCGCCTTACAATGCGCAGCAGGACTACCACACCCACCGGTACTTCAGTAGCCACGTGGTCCCGCCCATTTTGCGGAAAACTGATCAGGTAGATCAGGAGCGCCCAAAAGCACCCCACTGTCTCTGACTGCGTCTGCAGAGGCTGGCCCTGGTGGTAGGGCCACCTTCCCAAATCCTGGCCTCTCTTACCAAGGAGGCTTCCCTACTCTCCTCTCCCTCAATTTTTTTTCCAAAGAGGGCAAGCTCAAAAAAAGTTTGTTTATTTATTTTTAAAGAGAAGGGAAGGGAAGGAGAGAAAGGGAGAGAAACCTCAATGTGTGGTTGCCTCTCGCACACCCCCGGCTGGGGACCTTGCCTGCAACCCCGGTATGCGCCCTGACTGGGAATCGAACTGTGACCTCTTGGTTCTCAGGCCCACACGCTCCGTCTTCTGAGCCACACCAGCCAGGACTCCCCCAGTTTTCTTAACTGATCCCCCAGAACAGCACCAGGAAGGTGACAGGTGTTGAGCGTGAGCTCACTGGGCTCACAGAAATACCTTCCACCCTTGCACTTGATAATGATCTCCTTTTGGATTTCTGTAAGCCTAGGGAACAGGGTTCGAAGCCTGCCTCTCGGTGCTTTCCCTGCAGGGAGCTCGCCAGCGCCTTTCCTGTCCCGCTCCGCTCCCCCTCAGGCGCTTCACCTGTGCCCTTCTCTCTCCTAAGTTCCCAGTCCCTTCTTTTGGCCCTGTAACTTGTTTCCTGAGCCCATTTCTTCCATCGCTCACTTCTATCTCTGTAACTTCCCAAACAAACTTTTTCTTATAAAAAAAAAAAAAAGAGCCCGCTTCTCCCAAACCGGTTTCACTGTCCTTTCTGATGTCACGGACCTGCCCTTTGGGGTGACCTCACGCTGCAAATTCTCTAAAAGCAGGAAAATCCCTCAAGTGAGAAAGATAAAGAACTATTTAGACCCACCAAGCGCCACGCCCTCTATCTGGTGACGTCACAGTTGCAGCGGGGGCGTGGGGGAGGGCTCCCTCGCCTGAAGCTGTGAGCTCAAACCTGACCAGGCCTTTTCCTCTGGGGTGTTGCCCCCTCCCCTCCGAGCAGACCACCTCCCTGGGATCGAAGATTCTGAGGCTGTTCTTTCACCACTTTTGCCTCCAATATTCGTGCCTGTATATGTCACAGTGGTATGAATACGGCTTAATGGGGGTTATTCTGTGAACAAACTTAGGCTGTGTGTGTGTGTGTGTGTGTGTGTGTGTGTGTGTGTGTGTGAGATCCCGGGTGTTGTATGTGTGCGTACGTGTTCAGTACACACATATATGTTCATACACCTGTGTGTGCCATGCTTGAGTGTGTATTTGCTGTTTACTTGTGTCACTTTTATGACAGAAGGGACCAGAGTCTGATGGGTAAAAAGAGAAAAACGAATATTTAAAAGCCTCAAAAGAATATAGTGTACATACTTCTGAAACTTTCAGTGTTTATGTTAAATTTTGTAAGTATTTAATTGCCACAACCCCCATTTGTGGTTGGTATCATTTTCATTTACATGAAGATGCTTATTGAACCTTTACTATGCGAAGCCCTTCACTCGAGCCATCTGACTTAAATCTCACAGCAGCCCTCCTTTTACTGGTGAGGAAACTGAGGTTCAGAAAACCTGGGTCATTGGCATGCATCATGTAGCTTGGTGGTGGCAGAGCTGGAACTGGAACCTGTCTGGCAGCAGGCACTGGGCCCTTAAATGCCAAGCTACACAGCCTCTCCCTGAGAGGCAATATAGGGCAATAGGTACCGTGCATTTCATCTGTCTGACCCTGTCGCCCCTGGTGGCGACCCCTGCCCACTCCCCTCAGCAAGCCTCGGGGGAGTCTGCCCTGTGCACCTCTCAGCACAGAGGCTGACAGTCTTCCGTATTCTCTCCCTCACTTTCAGGATCACGGCGGTACGGGAAGGGACGGCTGGATAGTGGATTATTTCCACATCTTCGGGGAAGGGCAGAGATACCTCAATAGGAGAAGCTGGGCAGGGGCAGGCAAGTGCCACCTTACTTTCAGCCTCCCCGTGGTCCCCCCTAGGAAGAGTGATTGGTGTGCATCCCCAGTCCCAAGAGAGAAATTGGGCAGTAGAGAGACCTGGGGGGGGGGGGAGCGGGCCAGGGAATGCACCCTCCAGCTTTTCTTATCCGTGAGCAGGTAGCGTCACAGTGTGCCTTATGTTTGGTTAGGGAGCACCTACTGTGTGTTAGGTGCTTTTTGCCCTCACACTAACCCCATGTTGCAACCTGGGCAACTGAGACCTAGGGAGTTAAAGTGACTTGCTGAGAAGGATCTGAGCTGGGACTGGAATCCCACTTTTTCTCACTCTGAAGCCTGTATCCCTCCCATGGCTCCTGAGCAAGCTGTGTCCTGCTCATTTCTTCAGGCACAGTTAAGGAGCAACAGGAAAGGGAGAGCTGAGAGATGTTTTTCTGACTGGGTGGGCCCTCCTCCCATCCCGACCGCACCACCCTTTGGCCACGCTCTAGTCACATGATCCTTTGTACCCTTGAGCCAAACTGAGCTCATCCATTTTCTCCAGATGGGTCAGAGGCGAGGGTGGAAATTTCTCAGTTCTTCTAGGAGCAAGGCAAGTTGGGCCAAACCTAGAGGTTTCTGAGCCTCCCGTACTATTCGCCCTCCTCCTGCACGCTATTGCTGGTAGGAGGTTGGGTTTCTAGGAAGTCATCTGTCTCCTTGACTTCACCAACCCTTGGCTTTTCAGTCAAGAGGCTCGAAACATTTGAGGATCGAGGGTTCTGCTAGACAGCGGGGGTGGGGGGGAGTGGGGGCACAGCAGCCGCAGCTGGGCTGGCACCCTAACACTAGCCCTGTGGGAGTGGAGAAAGCAAGAGGGGGCTGAATGCAGGTTCCAGCCTCTCTCTCCACCCCCAAGGGCATTCCCTCCAGCAGGTGACTGGGCACAGCTACTACAATACTGACCTGAAAACGAACAGGGGGTTCAATGGCCGGTTTGGCTACCGCAGGAACACCCCAGCCCTCCGCCAGCGCTCGTCCGACTTTGGAGAGGTCACCCCATTTCCTCTCTTTTAACAGCAGCTTTTCCCTTCAGACCCCTCGACCTGAATTTCTATGACAGATGGTTTGATGAACTCTGAATGGTGCTCTACATAAAAATTGTTTTTTACCTGTGCCTCTAAGTGTGCTATTTCTTCCCTGACGTAGGGGGAGGGGGCGAGCTAATTTCTCCACTCGGAGTTTCTCCTCTCCAATGCAGAGGAGGTGAGAGGACAAGTATTTCTCGGGCCTGTGCCCTTACTCTCCAGCCAACGAGTGCCAAGCTTGAGGGGCCTCGGCTCTCCCCTGCCAGTGTGGTAAGGAGGAACCACACTACCTAACCTCAACAAAGCTCTTCCCCAGGCATCAGCAGGGCCAGGTCAGAAGCTGGCTACTGTTTCTGAACAGGAGCAAGCAGTGTGGCCACAAGGACTGGCCGTTGGTTGCCCTGGAAAGGATTTCCTGATTTTCCTGTCAGCCCATTCAAAAGAACCGACATTTCCTTCTCCTTTCCACTTTGAGTTCCTCCAGAGGCAGGCCATGAACGAGGTGGTATCTGGGGTGCTTTTCCAACCCGAGGATTCTGACACAGTAATGCTGTGCTTGGGGATGCTTTTCTCTACCCTTACAGCCAGTGTCCTTTACAGCCAGTTTCCAGGCCGTTTTTTTTAAAGTGCCCCAACCCAGTGTATTAGTGGCCAGGAGAAAAGCCAAAGCAGATGATGGATACAAAAGAAGGTGGGGCTTGAAAACACAAAGCTTGCCAGGACTTAAGTGTGGGTGGAACCTCATTATATTGAGTCACCACAAGTGGACAAGGAGGACAAACAAGATAGGTTCAGGGGGTATAGCTCAGGGGTAGAGCATTTGACTGCAGATCAAGAGGTCCCCGGTTCAAATCCGGGTGCCCCCTTTCCATTATTTTTCTCTTCTATTACAAGGACTATAAATACCTCAGCTTCCAGCCACAAAGTTTCTAAAGATAAAGAACTCTCAACTCAGTGCCCTGAAATACTACTAATTCCTTCCACATTCCAAATGACCAGTTAGGAGAGACCCCTGAAGAATCTGCTGGGATTTGATGAAGACACACTATGTCACCCCAATAAGTTAAAAATCCCCTAGGAAATTTTAAATCTAAGATTAAGTCAGAGTTGTGAACACAAATTTAGCAATCTGATATATGATATTAAAGATAAGGGCATTCATACAACATGTATTTTTGAGAGCTTAGTATATGGAAGGCTATAGCGAATTAAAAGATGAAAGTGTGTCCCTGTCAGGGAACTTTTCAGTCTAGTGGAAGTAGACACCGTCACACACCGCTGTCAGAGGAAAAGCTTTTGTTTGTACCTCAAGAGAGAGATCTCTTTTGAAAATACCCACTTTTTCTAGACATAATTTCAAACTGAAGCTTTTCTACAATTTGAAGAGATAGTTCTGCCTGGTCTGAAGAGGATTATTAACCTGTTGCTTGTGTCGCTGCACAGTCCTCTCTCTCCAGGGTTAGGGGCACTTTCATCCTAGCTCTCGGAATGGAACAGATATCCACCCTGGCCTCCTTAAGCAGAAAAGCAGTCTACCGGAGGGCTGGTGGACTCACAGAGTTAATGGAAAGCTGGAGAACCTAACTCAGAAAGCAATGAACCAAGGCAGTGCCACACAGACGAATCCAGCTCTGGTCTTGACCTTGGAAGTGTCTGCTATTGGTGCCACCACCCCCAGGCTCCCATCACTACACCATGGATATTGTTCCAGCGGCACCTGCATCTTAGAACAATTTCTCGAGTTAAAAAAAAAAAGCCAAGCGGAATCATTCGATTGACCAAGCTGCGGTCTGATGCGTGTGCTGATTTATGCCAGATAGCGGAGGAGGAAGCGCTGCTCACCAAGTCTGACAGCACGAGGTACTCCCCCGGCACTGGAGGAGTGTTTGAGTTCAAAAATGAGTATATTACAACACCTTTTCCTCCCCAAAGAAACCACTAAGGAGAGAGTGTGATCATTTATCGGTTTCCAGTTCTAGTGGTCAAAGATTTGCAGTCTTACACCCCTTTATTTCCCATTCGCTAAAATTAGATAAAAATTTTGTTACATCAATTATGTCGACATTGTCACGATCATACAAATACTATTTACTATTAAGTTAATCTATATGTACTATGACAGTATCTCCTTCCATGAAATGTTTTTTCTCGAAGACAATTACCTTATTTTTATTGACGTTTTTCTTTGTGACTGTTGACTATTTTCAAATTCTGCAACAGCCGCACAGTACAATTACTCACCTGGTCCAAACCTATCAAATTAATTTTTCCAAAGCAGTCTTCTGATACGGTCATTCTGCTTTGGGATGTTTAGGCCCGCCATCAGCTGGTGCCTCGGGAACTCCCCTTCCCTCTCCTCTGTGTCGCATTCTTTTTCCTGGACTTTCTCCTGTTTTTTCTTGGTTTCCTCCTTTATATGGTGGAAAATAACCCCCAGGGGCTTCCTGACAAAAAACATAGGGGAGGTAAAATGTTTAAGTATTTGCATGTCTGAAAATATCTTAGTTTTCCCTGAACGCTTGAGAAATAGTCTAGGAAGAGAATTCTTGAAAAAAATTTTTCAGAGGTTTGCAAATCTTCATTGTCTTCTAAAGATTTTCTTGATAAGCTTGATGTCATTCTTATGCCCATATGTGACCTGTTTCTCTCTGAAAAATCAGGATTTTTGTTCTTGATGTTTTGAAGTTCTTCAACAATGTACTTGGTGATTCCATTCCTTTCCATTTAGAGATTCTTGTCCTATCTTAAGTGTTATTCATTTCTTCTCTATTATTTGGGGCCTATCTCTTGAGTTGGAATTCCTTAGGAGTGACCACTTTGATGTCCTTGCTCTCTCTCTACAATGGTCATGAAAGAATTTTCACATTCTTGCATTCATTCATTCATTTCTTCATTGTAGCCACAACGCAAAATGCCTACATGCTAGGCATACACTGGATGCTTCTTACAGAATGACAGTTGTTGGCTGAACAGTAGACATAATTCTATCCACACACACACGTGATCAAATGAAAGCTGTGTTCAGTTTCCTTCCCTGTTTGTGGTGTCTCTGTTTTGATAGACACTTTCAAGGACAACATTGAAACTGCCTTTAATACACTTAGCCACTTAAAACAATTTGGACGTAAAGCATCAGTAAAACCTCGCTTCACACTTAAGTCCCAATGTTAAGTCCAATGGTTTCCTATGGAATCAGTGACTCTTTCCTGTCCTCCTAATAGTCTAGAGACTCTGGTTGCTTTGGATCCAATTCTACCTGGCATTGCTGAGGAAGGTTCCAGAAGGTCAGCTGAAACTCTTGCAAGTTATCTAGTACTAGTTGACCACTGTAGTGTGGAAGAGGGACTTTCTTTTCTAATTTCCCTTCTTTTTGACCTCACAGGGCCCTGGTGACAATATTCAGAAGGTAAGAACGCATCACAAAAGAACCAGAAGTGCCTTGGACAGGCTGTTGGGGCTCAGAACTTGGTGGAGTATTTCATCACAAGGCAGCTAGTCCCTGCTTCAGTTCAGTGTTTTTTCCCCAGAAATTTCCTTCTCTAAGAAATTACTTAAACCCAATTGATATTAGTTCTAGAGGCTTGTTTCTCATTAGACAATGTACAAAATTGATATTTGAAATGCCTTCATGTTCCTTTGCCACTTAATTGTTTAAATAGGTGGAGACCGTGCCACACTCCAGTGCTATATGTACTGTGGCTTCACATTTTGTTCCTCGCTTTGCCCCAAGTGTGGGATGGGTACTGCCAGTAAATGCGATTTGACATCAGCTAGCAAAGAGGTAACACAAACAAATAAACAACAATAACACTGAGCTGCAGAGTGAAAAAATCCCTTTTTCAATCCTTTTTCATTCCTGAATAACTTGAGGGAAACGTTTTATTTGGTGTCAGGTCTCTAACATTTCTGAATTCTTTTTTAAATAAAAAATATCTAGCTAGTGTTTAATAATATTCAATTTGACTTTCCACTCTATGTCAAGTGATTTCCTTTGAAGTAAAAGCTTTATTGATATAATTCATATATGATGAGGGAGAGGTCCAGAGTGGTGGTAACAGGGGAGGAAAGAGTTGGACTGGGGGAGTATGGATAGGGGAGAGAATGAGTCCAGTTTTAGCATCTTCCAGATATTCCACTGAAAATGCCTAATAGCCAGGCTTAAAACCCTGGAGCTTAAAAGAGAGATAAGACTGGAGATAATGAATTTGGGATCCATCAGCATATGTATGATAACTGAAAGCCCTGTGAGTAGATGAGGTCTTCCAGGAAGAGCACTGTGTGTGAAAAGACCTAAGACAGAACCTAAGATGCTTGATGATGAAGAAAAAAACATGCTCCTTGACAAGGGTCTAGAGAAGAAAAGGAAAATCTGGAGACTGGTGTGGAGAGTCAAGTGAAGGGTGTAGGCGGTGGTGCTCAACACCGAAGGCTCAGTGATGAAGATGAGGATGAATGTGTCACCTAAATACAGTGGGGGGTGGGGGTTACTAAAGATCATGGGAAGAATAGTTGAGTGAAGGGGCGAGATTAAGCGGATGAAGTGGAGGCATCTTGTCTCCTGAGTGGAGACAACTCGCTTCAAGTTTGGAACGGAGAGCAGAGTGCCAGCAGCAGCTGGGGAAAAGATGAGCCTTTTAAATTGTTTTAAAGGATCAATCGAATGTATCTAAAATGCTGACGACAAAGAGCAAATACTGAGAAGACACAGGAGACAGGAGGAAGTCGAGAAATATTAGAAGTGAGGGGTGGGATCCAGAATGGAAGAACCGCCAGCCTTAGACAGGAGGAGGGGCGCCTATTCCATCGCTAATTAAGGAAAAGGAAATGGTGAAGCTGGCAGATTTCAAAGGTTTGGTGCTGAGCAGCTAATGGAATTTCGGGTCGATTGTTTACATATCTCGGTAAAGTAGAGAGGGAGTCGGCGCTGCGTCGAGGTTTGAGAAGAATGAGGGTTTCAAAAGCCATTTGGAAAACCGAGGGTGTGAGTCA